TTCAGAAAAAGGCAGTGTGATTAAGTTAATTGTACTTCGGTAGTATTGCGGCACTTTCTTGTTAGATTGACTGCTGATATTCGAGTTTGCTTGGTGGCACGGAAGAATTTTAGAGTATCTCTCGTGGAATGATTGGGATCAGGTATGGTGATTCGTGTGGTATATGGAGTTAGAGACTGGGAGTTCTCGTGTTCAGGCTATGTTGTGGTTGTGGGTCGCGTGTATCGGCACTATTTAGCGACTATCGGGGTTCGGAGACCCGAGTGGATCTTTTGTTGCTTGGTACGTTAGATTTTGGAGGTGGTATTGGGTATGGACTGGTTGTCTCAGTGTTGTGTCATTCTGAGCTATTGCGCTAAGGCGGTGATGTTGGTTATGCCGGGAATGCCACAGATCGAGTGGCGAGGTTCGACGGATTATGTTCTTAGTAGGGTGGTTTTATATTTCGAAGGCCCAGCGGATGGCTGGGAAGGATTGTGTATCTTATTTTGGGCTCTCGTGATGGATGTCAGTGCAGAGACTCCTCATATTGACTCAGTTCCGGTGGTGAGGGACTTTTCGGAAGTGTTTCTTGTGGTCGAGCATGTCGCCAGGCAAGGTTGTTGATTTCGGTATTGATTTGATGTCGGGCACCATATCGTATGGCGCCGGCAGAGTTAAAGGAGTTGAAGGAGCAGCTTCGGGATTTTCTTGATAAGGAGTTCGTTGGCAAGCCAATGTGGATGCGTATTCTAATTTGAGTCGGCTTGATTGGCTCCGGATTGTATTGTTGAGGGTGTGTTGATTCGATTGTTATTGAGCTTATTAGTAATCTGGGGAGGTCTATGAGTTACCTTTCTGTGTTGCGAGGTGTTATGATTTGTTGGTTATAGGCACATATAGCGCGTCTCTATTGGGGTCTCATAGGGAAAGTCGAGCGGGAAGAGTAATTGGGTGTTGCTCGATGAATAGCGTATCGGTTATGTCCTTTCGGGTTTGCGTGGTGTATGTTATTTGCTTCACCGTGGGTGTGATGATTTGCTTTGGTTCCAGACATCAAATTGTGCGTGGTTGTCGATTTCGAGCATAGTGACTTGAGGTGTTTCATGTGGAGCAGTATTTGGATAGGATCGCGCATTGCAGCGAAGTTATGTGGAGGTATGACCTTGCGGGGTAGATTTGTGTGTTCTATTTCTATGATGTGAGACGGGTTCTCAGCCTTGTGTTGTGGCGGTACTGGTGAGCTTGAGGTACAGCTCTTTCATTGAGTCAGTTTCATGATTTGAGTATGTTCGGACCGTTGTTTATTGGTGCGCGTATTATGCAAGTTGTGGCTTAGTCCTATATTGATGTGTCGTGTCACCAGAGTAGTGTGTTAGATTAGAGGAGATCGTTGGGATTATTAATGAATACGAACGGATTCGATTTCAGCATGTTGGAAGGATAATATCGAGGTTCGGCTCAGAAATTCGCTGTAGTCCTTGCCAAAGGAGAAGTGGCTTCATAAATGGTTGATCTAAGAAATGGTTATGGCTTACTGTGTGTTTTAGTTATCATTGGCAGTATATGAAAGCGTTGGGATGAGACTTAGTTGATAAGAGGTTTTCTATCAGTATTCGGTTGTCATGTGCAGCTGCTGTGATTAGAAGTTATCGCTACAAGCGTTTGAGTTATGTGGTACATCATGTAATTACACCCGAGGTTGCAGGTATGGGTTATTACAGCTTGTTCGGGCTTATTCACAATATAAATGTGGGACTCTGATCGTATTGATGATTTCAGAAGTGGAAATGTGGTTCTATGATTTATGGGCTAGATTAGATTGTGAAATTTCAGTTACAATGTGTTATCGGACCTATGAGATAGGGTGACGTGGGATCACCCCCGGGTATATGCATGGTAAAGTTATTCAGCGATTGGTTGGCTTTTGTAACAACTCCGGGCACGTTCGAGGACGAACGTATGTTTAAGTGGGGGAGGATGTAACGACCCGACCGGTCGTTTTGAGCTTTTGCACTCTGCCCGTCAGTTCTCGGGCATGACTTGCCCCGTATGATGTATTAAGACTTATGTAATTTGTTGGTTTTGGTTTTCAGGGTATCGGAATGAATATGGAAGAACAATTCTCAGTTTGAAGCTTGAAATTTGAAAGGTTTGACCAAGATTTGACTTGTTTGTATATGATCTCGGATCGGAATTTTTATGATTTGGTTAGCTCCGTTAGGTGATTTGGGACTTAGGAGTGTGATCAGAATGCATTTTGGAAGTCCGTGGAAGGTTTAGGCTCGAATTGGCGAAACTAAGATTACGGTGTTTTCCGGTTGAGAGGTGAGATTTTGATATAAGGGTCGGAATGGAATTTCAAGAGTTGCAGTAGCTTCGTTACATGATTTGGGATGTGTGTGCAAAATTTCAGGTCATTCGGACGTGGTTTGGTTGGGTTTTTGATCAAAAGCATATTTCGGAAGGTTTTAGAAAACTTAAGCTTGAATCCGGTGTGTCTTGAGTGATTTGATGTTGTTGGAGGTGTTTCGACGATTGGAACAAGTATGAATAAGGTTTTAGGATGTGTTGGTGCCTTTGGTTGAGGTCCCGGCGGCCTCGGGTGAGTTTCGGATGGTCAATCGGGTCATTTTGGAGTTTAGGAAGTTGCAGATTTTGAGTTCCAGCAGTTGCAGACATTTTGTTCTTCGCGTTCGCGAGTGGAGCTTCGCGTTCGCGAAGGGTAAGGAAGGGAGGCATTAGTGTTGGTCTTCGCGTTCGCGAAGGGGAGTCACGCGTTCGCGAAGGGCTGGGTATTTGGTCATCGCGTTCGCGTGTAGTGGACCGCGTTCGCGTAAGAGGAGCTGCGCTTCAGGGTGTTATTCATCGCGTTCGCGAGAGAGGTTATGCGATCGCGAAGGTTTAGTCTGTGGGAGCATCGCGTTCGCGAGTGGCAAGACGCGATCACGAAGAAGGAATTTTTGGTCAAAGCTGGATTGTGCTTCGCGAACGCGAGGCTTTGACCGCGTTCGCGAAGAAGGTTTTTGATGCCTGGGCAGAATGTTTAAATAGCCATTGTCCGCGATTTTGAAGCTATCTTTCACCATTTTTGGGCGATTATGGAGCTTTTTGAGAGAATTTGAAGAGGTATTCAAGATATAACACCTGGAGGTAAGAATTGTAAACTCAATACTCGATACTATGTTGATTCTTACTTGTTTAATCATGAAATATATGGAAATTAAAGCCTAGAATTGGGAAATTAGGACTTGACTTTGGAGAGTGTAGATTGTGAATTTGAAGGGGCAATAGAGGTCCGACTTTGATGTTCTTGATATGTATGAACTCGTGGGGAGATAAGGAATCTATTGATGTGAAAATTTCTGAGTTTCGAGAAGTGGGCCTGGGGCTCGTGTTTTGGTAATTTCGGGATTTGTGCCATTTATTGATTATTTTTCGCTTTGGGGCTTTTGTTC